TTTGAGTTCTTATCTTCATTTTTCTTATTATTATTTTTAATGTTATTATTTGTTCAATTAGCAATTGAACAAATAATAACGAAGTAATGGAAAATGAAATTGTTCAGGTATTGGATCGTTTGGAGGAGAGCAACGCAATGGTATCGGACTTGTTGGTGCAGTTGTTGGGTGTGCTGACTGCGTACAGTATCAGTGTCAAGGAAACGAAACGCTTTTTGCGTGCGTTGAAGGTTGATAACGGACAATGGGTTCGTGTTGTGATTTATTCGTTGTTTTGCGAACACGTTCTTTTATTCGTTTAAGTTTTACTTTAGGCATTGAGTTATTCATTTATAATGATTATTCATTCGTTGAGTTATAATATAAGAATGCTTTTGTTGGTTATTTCAAATTATCGTTATGTTAGTGAATGAGGTGTATGGATGGCTTTTTGCTTGAAGAAGTTTTGTTTAGAGAAGATTGTGTGTTTGATTTGTGGAGAAGTTGTAGTTGATGTTAATTGCTAGAGTGAAATTGATGAGGTAGTTTTATATGGGGAAAACGATTGACTAACTTTCGATTGATTTTTCTCATATGATAGTGGAATTGAATTAAAATTGTTAGTGTTTTGTTGTTTGCATGAGATAGTTGATCACTTTTAGCGAAGAAATTCCGCAAAGCTTTTACAAGTTCTGAAAGAAATGCCGAGACGAGACGGAGCTGATGTGTTCTTTTCGTTTCCTGGATGTCGTGGAGCGGTGCGTTTCATTTCACGGTTGGGTGAATTGCATAGGGCTGAGATTTTCGATTGATTGAACATTTGTTATTGTGATTTGTTGTAAGGAATTATTTTTGTGTTGAACACGTAAAATATGTATGATTTTTTTTTGAAAATTGATTTTAGTAATAATATTATTGTTATTTCATGTTTCACTTCAATCATATATATGCNGTTACGGTTAAGGGTATTGCGTTGCCTCCGCTCACGAAATGGCCGTATCAAAATGGTTGGACATTCAGCACATGGCTTCGTATGGACCCGCTGAATAGTGTCAATTTTGAGAAGGAAAGACCGTACTTGTATAGGTCAGCGATTTCGTATTGTTTATTATGATTGGTGGATTTATCAGTTTCTTATTTCGTCGATCTTTCTGCATTATCTCGATAATGAGATCTCATATTGCTGTATCGAATCGCATCAGTTAACGGATTATTGGGCAAATAAGCATAGTGACATTCAGGAAATGAAAAGTTATTGCATTTGTGAAGGATAAATCAAAATCAGTGAGAATCAGATGGAACATTGAATGAAGTTGTGACCATCACCTGAGTTCTCTAGAAGATTATTATGTCGTTGAAGATGAGATGTTTTCAGTTTTCGAACGAACAAAGGAGTTGGATACAGTTGTTATTTTATGGGGAACTGCTTGGTGGTGAGTAGTATGCGATCGCCAGGCAAAGAGGTGGCTCGTTGCATTCGACAGGAACTCTCGCCGAGGAAGTTGGTCGTTTGTTCATTTCTCGTTGATTGTTCATATGGTGTACTTATCATGATTTGCTTGCTTTATTGCCATCAACGTGGCGAAACCAAATGCATTCATTCATGCGGATTATATTTGGTTGAATTTTGAAAAACTAAATGGATACATAAAATTTTATTTTAGATGGCATCACATCGCAATTTCACACGTTTATTCAAGATGGTCAAAAAGTGAAATACAGTGCTTTATCGATGGACAGTTGATCGAGTCATTCGACATTACATGGTTAATATTCGTTTATTTAATAAGTATTCATCAGAGATGAATGCAAATGATAATGTGTGATACGTGATAATAATGATAGCAATTTTGATAAGCATCTTAATTTCTGATAGGTTGGTGTCAACAACGGATCAGTTCGATAAGTGCACAGTGGGCTGTGGACCGGACGGTGAGGAGTCGTTCTGTGGTCAAATCGCGGCCATTTACGTTTTCGGCGAATCGATCACTCTTCAACAAGCGAATTCACTCTATTGTCTAGGTGCCATTTATCAGAGTAACTTCAAACACGATGCAGAATCGGATCTGCCAGAAGGATACAAAAAGGTTTGCATATTTAGCTCTGATCATCTGTTTTACCTATTTTAAGTTTGTGACGATAATTACTCGAAGTTCTGATAATAATCGTTATTTCGGAGGCGTTTTATTCATAAATGATGTGCAAAACTGAGTAATTTCAAAGAGCAAGAAATAAAAATGCTCACAAAATTAGTGCGAAATTGGAGAGTTTTTTTGGAAAAGAAAATGAATTTTGCAGCATTTGTTTGACGGTCGAT